TTGGATAAAAGTATCCAGAGCTATTTTATATTATAGACAAAATTTTAAATCCACAGGGGTCTCAGACCACTAGTGTGGAGCTCCATCAATGTCTTACCAGGGACCAAAGCAGAGTAAACAGAAACTTGGCCACCTGGAGCCTCCTTATTTGTCTGTCTCCAATGGTCTACTCAAGGAGCAAAGATCAACAGTGTCTCATTGGGAGGGGGAGGAGCCCCATTCTCGTAAAGTTGCATCCACACATCCAAGGCTGCCTGCAAAACTTTTCATTCAAGACTTTTAGTGCAAAAGAAACACAAGCCAAACTTACATCTATAACTTTTCTCCCCCTTTATTTATGTTAAAATAAAGTCAATTCTTGTATCAGGCCTAGGTGCCAATGTGAAAAGAGCCAAGTTGTCAGCTTTCACTGCCCATTTTCACAGAGAGAACAGTTTGGTTTTTTGTTTTTTGTTTGTTTGTTTGTTTGGTTGGTTTTGTTTTTGTATTGTGTGTGTGTACACAATTCTCTTACACACACACACACACACACACACACACACACACACACACACACACATGCAAGAACTCCCAAATTTAGTAAAAACTGAAACTCTACTCCTATTTTTATAGTAGAATTATTTTGCCCATGGTGATGGGGAAGATAAAGAAACAGGAAAAAGAAACCATTTGTCATTGACTTGAAGACAGATTGGTAGTGAGGGGTGGAAATCACAACAATTTTAATTTTTATTCTGAAGGCCTCGGTCAGTGATTTGGACAAGAACATAAAAGGATGTCAAATAGTGCTGATACACGAACCTTGAAAGTTCACCTTTTATTTTTGTGGAAAAGGAAGAGAGGAAATTGAGGTGAAGCTGCAAAACTTTCATGTTTTTTTTCCTCCAGCCAAACCTGCAGAAGAGAAGTTCTCTCCAGTCACCGCTGAGTGTGTTTTGGCAAAGCTCAACCACCAAATGTCCTTCGAGACTGGTTCTCACCACGGAGACACCGTTTTAGCTTTTCTCTGGGGCAGCTGCCATCTTCCCACATCTGGGCTGTTCTCTTCCCTCCAGCCAAACCCAGTTCCTTTAAGGACGCCACTGAAAATCTTCAATGCTCACTGGCAGGCAGCAACAGAGCACCATCCTCCCAGACTCCACTGCACTGCTGGATTCCTCATCACTGCAGAACTGCACAATGAAACACAAATCCATAATCTCTGAGTAGCTCGGAGCATCAGTTCACACAGAAGAATCTTATAGGCCTGCAACTAATAAAAAGCAACCCACCCCTTCTGATTATAGCTAGAAAAATATAACCACGGAAGGCGAGTAAGACAAACACGGCATCTGTAGGAAAGCTGTTGTCATTGAGGAGGGGAGAGCTGCAGAGAAACACCAAAAGCGTATTCCATTGCACTCCATCAAGACATTTAATAAAACTGCCATTCTGGACACTTTACCGGGCCTACTTTGGAATTGTTTTCACAGTTACTCAGCAGGAAACCAACATTTGAACCCACCAATCTTTGGAGTCACAAATTCAATTTTAAACTTTTTATTTAAAAAGCCTTGAGAATATCTATCACTCCAGGCAGAGGGATGATAATAACATTGAATTTTATGAATTATTACTTTCCAATCAAGGGTGACAGACTTGCTTATAGGAACAGGGAGAGACTTTTCATAAGCAGCCGTTGTGTTCGGTCCAACTTCTCCTGATTCTATTTTGCCAAAGAAAGGAAAAGGATATTACATTTTAAAATAAAATTCTTCCAAATAAAATCCCAGCAGTGCTTAGCTCCGGAGAGCTCTTGCGGTGCCTTTTGGTTGTAAATGCTGGAGTTTTATGTCACTCACATAAGCTCAAGTTTGTCCATTTAGACCTAAAAACCCAGGAACAGCTGGAGTCTTAGATCTGAGTCGCTTGGACCCAACACAGCCTGTGGACTCCAAACCAGAGCAGTGTTCTCTCAGCCCACTGTAACTCATCACTTTTTATCTCAGCTTGCAGGCTAAGAACCAAATACTAATGGCTGCCAATCACAAAGACACAGCAGCACTGACAGACTGGGTATCAACCAGGTCTTTGCTGATGTTTTTAAATGGTCACTTCAAAGGGAGGTCTGGGTTCTTCACATCCAATCATCGTCACAAGACAGACTTTTAGAGATAGCCAGTGTCCTGCTCATCTAAAGGAGATGCATTTTAAATAAGAAAGATGCAGACAGACCCTCTACAGTCCACAGCCATTGATTTTAAGTCAGGACTTGGCCTGAAGTTTGCTGAACAAATCAAAGAGGAAAAGAATTGTAAATTAAATGGCTTAAGACAGGCCATTTCTAAAATCCTTTAAAAATAATTTACAAGTATTTCTTCCACTATAAATAACTGGTATGTTCATTACAATGGATACTTTAAGAGTGACATGGCGATTATAAACAGTGCTTATCTATAGGTCTTCCATGACCCTGTAAGAGGCAACTGCTGTCTCTGCATACTGAGTTCAAGTTACTCAGTGTGTGAAAAGACAGTAAACTTTTAATCTTTAAACATGTCTTATTAAAACATGTGTCTCACAAAATCAGGTTGCCTTGCCTCCATTAGTCTGAAATAGTAAATTTTTTACTGCAATCCTTGGGGCACATATATTTCCAGACTGTTAACTCATTACAGGACCTAAGCTACTTAACCTCTCCTAGCCTAGGTTTACTCCTTGTGGAAATGATGTTAATCATTTGATCCATGATTTGATGTACATAAAGAACTCAGGGAAAAGTAGAACAAAGGACTAATCACAGTTATTCCTCAGTTGTATTCAGAAACTAGGAGTCAGAGAAATTGATTGATGGCTTCTTAAAGCCAAGTTAGAATCCTATAGATATTTGAACTGTGAGTATAGAGTAAATAAAGTGATTTGGGGTCATAGTACATGCCCCAAAAGGTTAAGTTCAGCTACCCATCCTTAAGAAGTCAATTAAAACAGCCAAATTAATAGTAAAA